TGGCGCAGTGGTTAGGGTGCAGTACTGCAAGCCACTTCAGCTGACTGTTATCTGCAGTTCAGTAGTTCAAATCTCACCGGCTCAAGGTTGACTCAGCCTTCCATCCTTCCGAAGTGGATGAAATGAGGACCCAGACTGTTGGGGGCGATATGCTGACTCTGTAAACCACTTAGAGAGGGCTGAAAGCCCTATGAAGCGGTATATAAGTCTAACTGCTATTGCTATTGCTATTGCTTATTATCACTATTAGTAGTTACAAAGATCTTTTAATGGGTTCAGGTAATTTGTCCACTGTAATCTTATCTAACAATGATACAAATAGTCTTTAATACAATTCATGGGATATTGTGTGACAAAATATGTCTGGATATGTTTATTTTCCTGGGAATTATTTGCTTGTGGTGGTCAGAGATATCGCTAAGGTTCAAAAAAGTCTAGTATCAGGCAGTCTAAATGTTTATGGAGATTCTCAGTCATCCTGGTCATGGTTGTCCCAAAGGTGCTTTTTCAAGAGACAATTGGATTTCCTGATTTTTCTTTGAAGATGTTTCACTTCTCATCCAAGAATCTGGAAGAGAAGCAAAATGTCTTCAAAGAAAAACCAAATTCCAATTGCTTCTTGAAAAAGCACTTTGGGACATCAGGCAGTCTGTGTGGATTAACAGTGAGGGTATCCTAGGTTTGGTTTAGCTTCAGTAGAACCATTTTTTAAAAATGTATGTCAATCTTGCTGATTATATGCAGATGTTTCTAGTTAAAAAATATTAAGAGTAACCTGTAAATGAGAAATAACATTCTTTATGGCTATTCCCAGAAATTCTGTGACATAAGAATGTTCTTTTAACTCCTCTGATGCCTTTTATGCAATCATCTTTTTTAATCAGGGACTTTTCTGTTGACTAGCTAATTTTAATTTTTTAAGCTTATTTATTATTATTTCCCCTGCTGTATAACCTGTTTGTTGAGTTAACCCCCCGCCCCCGATAACTCATCCTCTCCCTTTGAGCAGCCCCCACGAACCACAGGTGCCTCTACCTCTCTCCCTGGAGCGTGCCTGGCAAGCGTGGGGTGGCTAGTGCACCAAACTCACCATCTCTTCCTCCACCTGTCTCTGCAGCCCTTATCTCCTCTGCCATATAATGGAGAGCCGAACCTGCATGGTCTTTACCAATTGCAGTGTTACAGAGGCAAATGGAGAGCTTGGTGTACCATCTCCCTCACACGCTGGGTGCATCCTTGGGGAGATCAAATGGACAGAGAGGCATCTGAAGGCAGTGGGGGTTGACCCAAGGGAGAGGATGAGAGGATGACTCTCCCATGAATACAGACAGCTGTGGTAGTGCCCACCCACTTTCACCAGGGTGCATGCCTTGGGCTCCGCACCTAAGGCACTGCAAGAGACAAGTGAGGACATGTGTGTGAAGCTTCTAGGATGGCATCAGATAGCTGCACCGAACTGGCTTGCTTTGAGGAGCTCGGGCATCCCTGGCAATTGTGCAGCTGCTCTGGCTTGGCTGTCCTACTGCCGCCCTAGCTGGCTGCCCAAGTACCGTGCAGTCTTGCCTCCTCCTCTTCCTCTAGCCAAAACCAGCACAGAAAATACCCCATGTTGATTGGCTGCCACTGCCATCTTCACACTGCAGTGTCCAAAACAGTTCTTTTGAACCAGCTATCTAGCAATGTGCAGAGAGCACCAAGAGGCTAGGACCAGATGAGACCTACAGGGAAATGATAGATGTTGCATTCTTATAGATGATCCTGTCCTCTTCGCCAGCATCTGAGAAAAAGATGGGTGCTTTTCTGTCATGTAAACCAGCCTGTTCTGGAATGTTGGAGATCTTTGAAAGGTAAGTGAGCAATTGGTGACAAGGTGGGGAGGAGCATGTGGAACCCGGAAGGCTAGCAAAGCAGAACGGGTTCCTGTGGAAACCTGGTGAGTCAGTATGGGGAGGAAATAGGCAGGAGGCATGTTGCAGTATCTCTGTGATTGGTCATAAGAGTGAATGACTACCACAGTCTTGCAACACAGATAACTTCAGGCCCGGGCACTTTGGGAGGAGGGACTGTTGTAACTTTGAACTGTTGTAATTTGAGGACTACCTGTACTTTAATAAAGATAAGGCTTCCATTCATAATACATACTTTACCGGAATCAAAACTTAAAAGCCTTCTGTTCCTTAAGTTTCTAATTGGCATTTGTATTCAGTAACAAGCCAATAATACTGTAATATTAAGCAGCCAAAGTAATAGAGAGCAACTCAGTGTATATACTTAGGCTCTCTGCCAGCGACAATCATCTGGAAGATACCAACACAGGCTCCTCTTTTGCCTTCCCAATATTCAGGGTTAGGATCCAATCTTTCGAGGACATCAAAAGCTTTAGCAGAATAATAAAACTGGCCCATCTGTGCAGAAGATAAAGGTACATGCTTAAAGCTCTAAAACAAAATTTAAATACACAGCAACATAAAAAGAGGAATGAACGTTGATACTGAATTTTTCTTGATCATTATTTGAAAGCCAGATAAATTTTTCTGACTTTGTTTTCAAGTTAAAGAAATAAATACATTTCAATGTCATAAACAAATTATTATTGACACAATATTTGTAGCTCAGTGTTGAACTGTGGAGCGCTTGGTGCTCTCTGAGTTTGGTTGTTTTCTTGCAGACATTTTATTACCAAACTAGGAGACCAGCAGAAGTCTAGCAGAAAAAATTAGCAGAGCATATTCATGAAAAACTAGCAGGCAGGATGAAAACTCCTTAATTTCACAACACATGGACAGACTAGTACCATAGTTTCAACTTGGAAATAGTGAGCATCCTAGACCAAGCTATGTCTAAAAACTAGAGCTAGAGAATTTCAGACAAATCTGGCATCAATAAGAACAGACACAAACAATATCTACACCATTCAAAAGAGACTATCAAAAAAGCTGAAAAGGAAAGGACCAAAAAGCCTTTTCACCAAGCAACACCCAGATGAGCAGATTAGCATCAAGATTAAGATCTAATGAACAATCAAGAAGCAAACAATATCTCCATCAAGGAACTACTAAACAGGATAGTAATAAACAATTGCTGAATCAGGAAACTACCAAGACTACTCCCACCAACACTTACAGGCTCTGATTATGTTATGTAGTTTGGTAATAAAATATCTGCAAAAAAACCCAACCAAGTTCAGAGACCAGAAGGATTTCACATTATTTATTTGGGGGGGGTGGGATTTAACATGCTTACATTGTGGCACAGAAATGGGGCACGCCACTAACCATGATAGTTGCACAAACAATTTTAAAGATGGAATATTTTCTTTGAAAACATTTTAAAATGTTCTTTTTTCCGCTTTTCAGTTATGTTTTACCTTTCATCCTAAAACATTTAATTTTTTTCATTTCTAGCAAAGTATTATATTGAATAAAATGATTTCCAATAAACAGAAATATTTTTTTTAAAAAAGTTATGCTCAAAATTATATTTATATTAAAACATAAAAGCCAAAATTTAGGAATAGCATAAATGATTGAATCTTCTGGCTCAATATAAAGTAGATTTTTTTTCTAAATGGACATTTAAAAATAAAGGAACTGAGCATTTGACAAAAAATAAATAAACCTGTATTTTTGTGAAATATTTGCATTTACGTCTTAGAAAAATACCATAAACATTTAGAAAAGTTAACATCATTTCCTTACTCAATGAAAGGCAAAAAAAACATGATAATTTTTCTTAAGATGCCTCAGTATGATCATAGGAAAAGTAGTCCACATGGGTTATTACTTGGGACAGCTTTATGCATCATAAAAATTCCAAACTAACTGCTTTATAGTCTAGGAATTAGGCCTATATCATATAACTTCTGATTGTAAGAAATGGGATTTAACAACAGAAAAGTGTAGAAGGTAATTTATTTAAAAAATTACATGGCTTGAGAAGGAAAAAAAGTTACAATTCTACAGGGTTGATTTAGATAGTGAAGGAAAATGGATTAAAGACAACATACTTTGTAGCAGTCGTTTGCAATTAGTTGCAGAAGACTAAAGGATTCTCCTGAAGTTTCCATCTTTAGGTAGAGTTCCCAGGCTAATCTTGGTTTCTTATTCATAATATCTGCAATCAACAGAAAGTTAGAACTAGTAGAGGCATGTTGCTACAGTGTTTAGAACTGGATAGGCATATTACTCAGCAGTATTGTTCTTTACATTGGCTGTTCAGATGAGTTGAGAAGTAACATAGCCACACTGATTAAATCAACTGGAAAATTAAAAAAACAAAATTTAAAAAATATATGCCAAAACTTGTACGTTGGCACATATTTTTTTTAAATGGTTTTTAGTTTTCCAGTTGACTTAATCTTCATATATGACAATGAGCTCTAGATTATCATGGGTACTTTCCATTTGAGCACACAGTAGACTGAGCATTTGAACAGATCATGCATGTGAGTTTTTATGTGAAAATAAAGTCAGTTGCTTTCCTGAAAGTTTCTTCCTTCTGATCTACGAATATAATATATAATATCTATGTTGGCATTAAACCTACTTCAGAATAAGTATACATATTATGATTAGTGGAAGTTCCGGTTGTCTACTTCTAAATATTTAAAAGGATGTATAAACAGACACCAGTGTTTAATGATAAAATACTTTAATTATATATGAGAAGCTCAGTGCAAAGCAGTTCTGTAACATCATATACATGCAGTCTTCAATATCTTCTAAGATCCTGCTTATAGAGCTCTTTTAGGTGAATAGAGCAAATGTAATAATATTCCATTTACTTATTGGAAAACCTTAATATGGTACTATTTACATAGTACATAGAAAGATTGTTATAAAGTGACCCTGTCTAGAGACTATAGATGCTAATTCATAAAAATAGTTCTAAAACCAATTAACATATACAAGCTAACAACACTGCCCCTCCTCAAGAAGTTATTTCCTGGACCCACCGATCCATGATTTCTATCCAGTCCCCACTCTTCCCTTTAAAGTTGTTGAGAAGACGACTGAACCTCAACTAACGAGGATCCTAAAGGTGATAGACTATCTAGTTATGGCCAAAGAAGTCTTTGCAAAGGCACATCTAATGCAGCACTTGGGCCTTTTCCTGGACTCTGAATGCTTCACAGAATTATTCATGTGTTAGTCACCTGTTCTCTAGAACATTTCCCCAGAATGGGATGACATCTCATACCCTGATAACATTCAGGAAGCTATTGGAGAACTGATTATTCTCCCAGTCTTTGGGGTGGATTGAAGAAATTTCTTGGATGAGAAGCGAAATGTCTTCAAGGAAAAACAAAGTCCAACTGCCTTTTGAAAAAGCACCTTTGGGACACATTTTCTATAGATTATCTTTAAAAAGTGGCCTATCTCCAAAGCAGAAATTTCAAGTGCCTCTCTCAAAACCTTGGAAAATTGCTTCTTAAAAGACATTTGTAAGGGAAAACAACTATTCTAGCTTAAAAAGTAATTAAATTTATATATACTTAATACTTAATTTCATTTAAAATTAATTTAAGGGATGAGATTACCAGTCAATACATATTTTATAACAAAGCAGAGTGACTCACAGCAGCGTGCTAGCCAACTGAGGTAAACAAAATCATTCTTTATTTTCTCACTTTGAATCAAGAGGAACACCTGAGAGGAAACAAAGAAAACCAAGCTTCTGTTCATATTAAATGTAGCTCTGAAATACATGCCCTCACTCAAATCAAGGTTTGTCATTCTAAAGATTCAGCAGGTATGAAAGTTTAAGACATGAAAATATAGTTCTCCCTTAAGCAAAAGGAGTAATTCATTCAAAAATTATTTATTCAATAATTTGCCTTATCAAAAGACCCCCAAGATCTCTGTAGCAGAGATGTAATACAAAAGCAGAGATGAAAAAAAGGAAGCTTGCAGTCCTGATATAGCCCATCATTATGTATTTTATGGACCTTTTGAATGGGAACAATTAGCAGTTTAGAAAGTCTGGGGACAAAACATGTCTAAATCTGGGAATGATTCTACATTGTTCTAATAAAACTCTAGCTTAATATGCAGACTGCTATTTAAAAAGAAACAATAACCAATTGTTTAATCTTTAATCCTTACTTTGCGAAATGATAATTTACGTTGATTTTTTTTAAAAAAATTAAGTTTCAAGGAGTATAACATTTTATTAGAAATAGCAATAGCACTTACACTTATATACCACTTCACAGTGCTTTACAGCCCTGTCTAAGCGTTTTACAGAATCAGCAAATAATGAAGCTTTTCTCAAAATGGCAAATATATTTTTGCCATTTTATTCAGAATATTCTGGAGCTTTTATTCAGGCATACTTAAGGAATGGTGAAGGGCAAATGGGGCATATCTTATACCAGTGATGGTGAATCTTTTTTGGCTCACGTGCCATAAGGTGGGGAGCGCAAGGGAGTTGTGCACGGGTGTGCTGCACTCATAATGCACTGCACGATCTCCCAGTGTGCATGTGCGCATGAGAGGTGCTCCCTCCCATTTTTTGAATGTTTTTTTCACCCTCCCCAGGCTTCAGAGGTTTTATAGGATCCTGGGGAGGGGGAAAACAGCCCCCCACCCCCCAGAGGCCCTCCGGAGGCTTCAGGGCCCTTCAGGAGGCTTCCCTGAACCCTCCGGAGGACTAAAAAACAACCCTATGAGCAAACCAGAAGTCCGTTCCCAAACCTCCGGTTTGCCCATAGGGCCGGTTTTTTTGCGCTCTGGAGGTTTCAGGGAAGCTCCTGAAGCCTCCAGAGGGCCTCTAGGGGGGCGGGGGGAGGACTCTTTTCATCCTCCCCAGGCTCCTATAAAGCCTCTGGAGCCTGGGGAGGGCGAAAAATGGCTTTAAAAAAGGCTGAACTCAGCTGGCCAGGGGCACGCATACGCGCTGGCCAGCTGACAGGGCAAAGCCTTGCATGCCCTGATAAATGGCTCCGCGTGCCACCTCTGGCACGCGTGCCATAGGTTCACCATCCCGGTCTTATACTGTATGTTTTCATCCATGCATGCATCCATCCATCTGTCCTTGAAAACAGAGTATTCTTCTGCAGTTGTACAACTCACACATAGAGTTAAATTTGAAGACGAAAATAGCAACCATAAGATCCTTTTCTTTCAGCAACAAATTTATTTCAATTCTCAATATGTTACATCGCTACAATATCAGACTCTGCTATTACACTGCAATAAATAAGTTTTTTGTTTACGTTTCTGTAATTATGATAGATTTTAAATTACAAATTGTTAGGAATGTAATCCAAGAGTTGGGTTGGCAATATATAAAGCATGATAGTAATACTGTATCTTTAATTACTGCTGTAAATGTGATTGGTTGCTGTTTCCTCAAGCGGCCATAAGATGGAGCCAGGCTGATTGTTGGATGATGGTTGTAGATGTGTCGTGTATTGATCGGCGTGGATTGCTGTGAGTTTTGCAACTGTTAGTGTTTTTTGTGTACTGAACTGTTTATATGATTCTGGACTGTGTTTGTTGGATCACCCCTTAACTGCAGACATTGATGACTGCAGATGTCTTAACTGTGTATGAATTGGACTCTGCATACCTCTATTTCCACAGAATTACAACACTATCTGTTTTACAATT